ATTTAGTATTTAACTGCTAACAACTTTGACCCCATTTAATGGTTAAAGAAAAAATAAAAGAGACGTAGAGATTGGGATTGGTTCCTTAGTGTGAAAAAGGAAAGTTCCTCTAAAGTAATACTGCGTGAAATTCTGGATGCATATGAAATTAGAAATATGATAACTTTGCAATTCATTTTCATTCATGATGAATTTCTTCGATTCTATATAGAATTGCAATTTTTTTCGTTCAGCACGAAAATATTCTTTTTTTGTCATATTGATGGCTTTTGCTTTTAAGATTACCTACATGTCGGTGGTTAGTATTATTGACAAGGTTAGAGGTCATGGAAAATGTTACTAATTTTAGAAGAAATTATGTATTGTAAAAATGGTTTAATAAATTTCTACTAAGCATAACTACTACATACAAAAGGAAAAGACATTTGATTTTATTTTGCTTTGATTAGAAGAACTTGTTCTAGTAATAAAGGAAATTTCAATTCAACAATCAACGTGCACATGATTACAGTAATTTTTTAGTCAATTAGACTAATATATGCCATAAAGTAGTCAGATTTAGTCATTTGTGAATTGATAATTTTAATAGTTTACATAACATTCATCTATAAAAAATTATGATTATTATAAAATGACATTTTATAATAATCTACATACCATTTGCCAATAAAAAAAGAGTTTGATAGAAAAAATATAGATACAAATCTATAATGTAAATGATACAAAGTATGTTTGAAATTCACAGAACTTAACATATGGGTAATTTTACTATAATTTTCAAAGATTATGCTACATTAATACAACTTTAATTTTTATATTGTGACCCAGAAAATAAATTTATTAAAATTTTATCATTTTATTAAATTCAAAGGCATTAATATATGAAAATTATGATGTATAAGTAAGTGCTATTTTATATACAACTCAAAAATTTTGTTGTTATTATAATACAACTTTAACTTTTATACTTGTGACCCAGTAAATAAATTTATTAAAACTTTTCCATTTTATTATATTCATAGGTATTAATATATGGAAATTGTGATATATAGATAAGTGCAAATCTATATATAACTCAAAAGATTTGTTGTTATTGTTATCCAAACTTTCTAACCTTTCACAAATTCAAAAATAATTCAAAATTTATAATATGACAAATTATTCTTACATATTTTATAAGGTCATTGCAAAAAAAAAAAAATAGTTTTCATAGTATATTTAAAATGCTTAAAACATATAACATTTATAAATGATACGTACAATTATGTATCATACATTTACATTACGAATAATTACTAACTATAATACTAAGTTTCAATCATTAATAAAAAATCTTAACATTATTTCAAATAAACTTCCTAATACTTGTTTCATATAAGTTTTTTAAGTAAAATAGTAAATTCATACCACAAACTAGTAGGTTTTGACCACTAACCAAATTTACTATTATATCAACAATATTTACTATTAATCTATAAAAACTTACTATTACTTAAACTAAACTTACTCTCCAAAAAGTAAGTTTCAGATATAGAGTAATAATTTATTTCAAAAAAAAAGTAAGTTCCATATTTATTCCAATTTACTTTTTGAGACATAAAAATTACTAATTTATCGAGTTAACTTACTATTTTTTATGTAAAACTTACTAACCAAAATTTTAGGTACTATTTTATTTAGGTGACCAATCCAATAGGTAATCAAATGGTCGCTAAAAGTATTTTTACCTGTTATATCAGGTAAAAACAGTTTCGTTACCATAACATCGTTACTTCAGACTTTTCCATTCTTCTATTGGGAAAAAACAATGGCGTACGGAATTCAATCAATGATTGGTAACAATGGCTTCACGGCCTACTACGTGTTTTGCGTGTTATCGTGATTATTCACCATTATGAGTAACATCCAATCTTAGGCAATACAATTAAGACTTTTAAATTAATTCAACAAAAGAGTCAGTAGAGAAAGGAAAACCAGAAAACACATTCCCAGGGGAAGCCATTTTGCTTGGAGGCACGCATAATTCCTTCTTCCGTAGAAATTTAAACTTCCAAGGACAGAATTATTTAGAAACTTTTAAAATTTCTGACTATTTCACTTTGCGCTCTTAAAGTTTTAAATATCACACCCACTAGAATTTTGAAACGTACTGGGTTAACATTTTGAATTATAGTAAAATTATTTTGGTCAAAAAAAGTTATTTGTAATGGAAAAGCAAAAAATTCAAGATGGTGTGCATTTCTATCAAAACGTTTATTATGAATAAAAGCAGAGGAATGAAAAAAACTCCACTCATGAACTTGAAAAAAAAACCATGAAATTGCCTAAAAATTGTGTTTAATTTTCATATATTCTTACAATTGCTCATAAAAATTTGTCCAATTTTAAAAAATTCCTCTCTTTCATTATATCGTATCCTAAGAATTTTTTATATTTTAAACCAACCTATAATTCCATGAATAACAAACCAAAAAGCTAATTCCAATTACATTATTAGATAACATTTGTTTTCTAACAACTACATCTTTAGTGAAAGGGATGGATCTCAAGTTCGAATTCTTTCACTTACACAAAAAAAAGCCTACATCTCCAGTAAAAAGATAATAAAAATTATCAAAATTAAATAAAAAAAATGCCCAAATATGGTCCAAAAGATATTAACAAATGCACACATCACCACCATAGCATTACTTACAAATTATGGAATGTGACGTGCAATTGATCATTTTTTTTCTTGACTGATATTTACTTATTGTTTGTTAATTGACAAACTCTTTCAAAGTACGCAAGCCCAAGACTATGGGAAAGTAAGATTCCAACTATCGATGATGCAATTAGGCACAAGACGTATAGCCTTGAAATGGTTGGAAGAAAATTTGGCCAGAAGAATAGATTTGTCACTAATCACGAACGTTGAAGTGGTGAAACACTTCTTTTGATTCCATAATCCAAAATTTCTTTGGTCGTTATCATCTTTTGGCACCTATCTCTATAATTCCACCATTCTTGCTACTTTCCACCTTCTTTTCGTTATACTCCGTTCATCGTGCAGTTTCATCTCCTTCATTTTCCTTTCTTGAGATATTATCTTTCTTCATTTGCTGCCCTCTTCTAACTTATCAGACTTACCTTTCCTTATCTCTGCAATCTTTTCCCTTCTGCCATCTTGTAAGCCGTGTAGACTCTCTCTCTCACACTCAACAATCTCATCTCCTTCGTATTATCATTCTCCTATCATACAACTACCCTCCTTCCACCTTCCAACCCTGCTTTTCCTTGTTCACTACTCATTTAGTCCCCTTTCAAATAGTTTTGTCCAGATCTAAGGTGAGAATTGCGATCTATAAGTAAAAATCAAAATGAGTGTAAATTTCACAAATTTTTCCTTAAATTGATGTTTAAACTATTAATATGTTCATAGTTATTTTCATTACAATTAATCAATTGCAAAGATGTTTTCTTAACTTTTTTTTGTAGGTATTAAATGTCCAAACTTATTTTTTGCTAAGGTTAAAAAATGATTAAGGGGATTGGGGAAGGTTTTCTTATTACTAGGTTCAAACATTTAATTGTTCATTCTATCTTTGGTAAAATGAACCAATCTCAATCTCCATTTATTTAATTTAATTAGTGAAATGACCAACATATCCTTGATTAAAAATTGAAGTGGCAAGATTACCCTTTGGTAGGAAAAAAAAAACTTCCACTTTAAATAAACTAATTTTCACTTCATAACGGAAAGTCTAATTAAAAGCATATAAGAGAAACATACTGGGTCACTTTGAATAACAATTGATCCTCTAATTTCGAGTTGTACTTTCGATCTCATTTTATATGCATACAACTAATTGAATAATTAAGCTTTTTCAATATACTTCTAAGTCCAATACTTTTTTACTAGTATGTTTGTTCTAATTCGGGTATAGTATTGAACCTTTGCTATTATTATTGCGCTAAATTCATATAAAATTTTAGGTCTACTTCATTTAAATTTTTGTAAACCGTAAGTAATTTTTGCTATTATATGAAGATATGTCATCACGATGTGTGGAACAAAATGATGCACTTTTAAAAATTGTATCGGTAGCCCTTCAATTTTTTCGTATGTTGTCCCCTTTACGTATGTGTTTTCAGTTAGAAATTTATAGTGAAGAGAAAATTAGTCTATCAAAAGTGAAAACTTTTTCTGTGAAAACTTTTTCTCACTACAAGGGTAATTTTGTCATTTGAACTTTTAACGAACGATAAATGGGTTACTTAATCAATTACTTGAATGGAGTTAATTTTTTCATCAATTTTGAGTTGATCAAGAGTGCATGTAAAGTATCTATTAAAATACTGTGGCATGCAAAGTGCAACTGATGCAATAGTTCATAGAGGTTTTCTGCATCTAACCCTTTTTGTTGACCTGAGAGAATGATAAAAGACAAAATTAATGTCGACAACATATAATCGTTTGTTAGGAATTAACCACAATTAAGTAATAAAAGGGAAAAAAAATGTAATAACCTTTAATTAGGGATTTCCATCTCTCATTCTTTCTGTTGCTTGTTTCCTTGTTACATTCCCTTATTTCTCAAATCAGAACACAATTACCCCTAAAAACCATTACATTCAAGGAGATGAACCCCAGAAAAAACACCAAAAGAGGGAATCCACTCTCACTCCCAGTAGGCCAATGCACCGAACTATAGCGAGAAAACACTCTTGCTCAGAAGTTTGAACCAAAAAAAAAAAAAAAAAGGCATTTCATCTTGCCCACACAGAGTTAAAACAAGAAGCGATTTGACAAGGTTAAGGGAAGGTTAAAATTTTAAAGAGAGAGAGTAGGGGAATCGGCAGATGGGTCTAATTCTAACAGTGACGGAGAGAATCCGTCTGTTACTGCCGCATCAATCATTTCCAGAAAACTTGCACAAAGAGTACTCTGTACCTAACTTATATCACAATTCCAATTAAACCAATCTAAAATTGAATAACCACATGATCTGATGATTTTAGAATTCCAGAAGGCGTGTAACTTTGTATATCTGTATATACTGGGGGAGAGAGAGGGTCTGGACTAAAAGCAGGGAGTGACAATTTACAGGGGAGGAAATTATGTGTAAGCCTGCTGGTGCTAAAGGGTGAAACTTCAGCAGTCCTAAAGTTCACCAATAATCACGACAAGAACATTCCCCACATCTGAAGTGATGAAATCTGCTGGCATCTCTAACAATAATTTCACGCCCCGTAACTAATGATACATGTTTAGCAAAATCGTGACAGTCTCTACAAGCACGGATATTTTTGAACACCAAAATAGAAGCATTATTTGGAGTTGAAATTAGCCCAAAAGCGATTGCAAGTCTCTCGCTGTGATCAAGAAGCTGTTCCTTTCGTTCCACCAAATTGTTGGATGCAGCTTCTTCAATAGTAAAGACAGAATCTTCATAGCTAAATTTTAGTTCTCGTAACTTTTGGTATATCTCTTCTGTTTGAGGGTGGTGCCTATCACCCACAATAAAGCGATGCACTTTGCCCCTGATTGTAATCCAGCTGCAGCTGACCTCCTTTTTCAGATCCCTCTCGGCCATCGTCCGTCTTACAAATGCAGCTTCATCCCATTCCCCACGCGAAGCATGTAAATTAAACATGAGTATGTATGCAGCAGTGTCATGGGGGTCCAGCTGAAGCAGTTTTTCAGCTGCAACTTTTCCAAGCTCAAAATTCCGGTAGATTGAGCATCCACCCAATAAACTTTTCCAACTCATAGCATCAGGTTCAAATGGCATCGCTTCTATCAAGGCCAGTGCCTCACTCAGTTGCCCTGCTCGAGCAAGTATATCAATCATACAATCATAATGGTCAATGGTCGGGTCAACGCCATACTCACTGCTCATTGAGTCCATGTACCGCTTGGCTTCTTCGACCAATCCACAATGGCTACACGCTGTAAGAATTGCTACAAAGGTAACTGAATTAGGCCTCACGGCAGAAGCCTGCATCCTCCCAAAAAGATTTAGAGCTTCAGGAGCATTGCCATGATAAGCACAAGCAGCAATCATAGAAGTCCAGGCCACAGTATCGGGATCACTGATTGATTCAAATACCCTAAATGCACAATCCAGTTGACCACATTTTGCATACATGGAAATAATTGTGCTTTTGCCGTGAAGATAGGAAATCAGACCTCGTTTAATTGCATCTCCATGAGCTTGAGTTCCAAGATTCAAGTCTGCAAGTGCAGCGCATGCCTGAAAGATGCTAGTGTATATGTATTCATTCAAAGCACCAGCTTGACTCCTCAAAGACCTAAAGACTCTAAAGCACTTCCCGAATTCACCACCTTGGGAATAGCCGGCAATCATGGCACTCCATGTAACATCATTTGGTTCAGATATCTTCTCAAATGCTTGAACGGCACAATCCAAATTTGCACACTTGACATAAAAATCCACAAGAGGGGTACCCACTGAAACCTCACTCTCCAATCCAAGTTTCACAACCAAACCATGGACTTGCTGCCCCGTGCCAACATCCACCAATCCAGTACACGCCTTGAGAATGATTGAGAACACAAACTCATCCAACTCAACGCCTTCCCTCAGCATCACATCAAAAAGTCTCAGGGCATCATGTTGCCTCTCAGCCTGAGTAAATCCCACCATCAATCCAGTCCACGTCACCACATTCTTTTCAACCATCTTATCAAAAGCCCATTGGGCACTCTCTAAACACCCACATTTTACATACATATTGCAGAAAGCAGTGTTCATGGACACATTTTCATCAAAGCCTGACTTTACCACAAGACAGTGTATCTGCTTCCCAAGCTCTAAATCTGACAAAGCTCTGAAAAGGCATTTGCAAATTAAAGGTCCACCATTGATTCCTGCGCCCATCATTCTCGAAAACATTTCTAGTGCTTTTCCTATCCAACCCTTATCAGCATAAGCAGATATGACGGTCTCCCAGCTTCCTGGACTTTTTTCCGGCAATTCGTCAAACAATTTCTGAGCATCCCAAATGTTCCCGCACTCAAAATACATCTCGATAACAGAATTCTGAAGAAACCCAGGTGGATTATCGAAATTCCTCTGTATCCTGTTATGAAACAGTTTCCCATCGCTCAAAGATTTTAACTTTGCACACGTTCGAAGCAAATGTTGATAGGTTTTGGGTGCGACTGAAACGCCAGCAGAGTCCATTTCCTGGAGGAACTGGTGGGCTTCATTGAGCTTACCCTGTTTTGAGAGCGAAATCAAGTGAATGTTTTCGAGCTTTCCTGCAGTAGCTGGTTGAATTTGGGCGGGGCTATATTGATGTTGGAGTGGGGCATTGCTGGGTCTTAGAGAAACCCAAGATGGGATTTGATAGCAATTTGTGGCTGAGATTTTGTCACAAATTGGGTTTAGATTCAGTAATGGAACACCTGCTGCCATTACTGAATTTTCAAATCCAAATCTCTCACAATTTATCCGAACAGGTGAAGAGATTTGGTTGAATTTTAAATCTTTCAAGCCACAGGAGAAATTTCACGTGTTGAAATCGATAATTTCAAATTCACTCTAGCTACATGTCATTTCAAATCCCTTCCATCAAATCTCCCTATTTCTCCCCTAATCTAATCATATTTCCGTAGATATTGAAAACTGGACGGCGGTATTGCCTCCCCCTGCCGCCGGTACCAATGTCTCCTATCGCCTGGCCGGAACCGCCGTCCCAGATTCGGTGGTTGCCGGCAAAGCTGACCATGAATGAAGACAGTGACAAGTTTCTGGAAGTCACTTGAGGAATTCAAACTGGTATGGCTTTCGTGTTTGAGAAAGATCAAATAGATGGCCAAAGTTGTTTTAATCCTCGAGTTTTCACTTATTCAGTTTCTATACCCAACTGCTCTTTATCATGAGCAAGTTTATAACCAAACAATGCATATGGAATTATGTGCATATCAAATCCTTGCATTTCATGCTCTAGAATTGGTCAGAATAATTAAATGCCTCGATACTTTAATCAAATTCGACTTGATAAGGGTTCGTTTAAATTTGATTCACTGACTAGTTAAAGATGTGATTAAACAGTATTTTATAGTTAAATTCGTTAAAATAAATCGAATAAGTTTGAACATTAAGATGTTCAGTTTGATTACAGTCCTTTCCACCCTAAGATTGGAAATGGAATAATATATAAAATATCAATATGGGTTTGAACTTCTGATACCATTCCGAAGACTGGTACTTTGTATAAATATAATTGGAATGGTATCAAAATTAATTTTTATTTTTTAAATTATTGTTATTTTTGCTGGACTAATAATCATGACCACCATTGGACCACTACAGAAGCACAAACAATCCAAATCTTTTTTTGTTCTTTGTCCAGCAATTACCAAACCAAACCCATGACTAATCAATAAAAGATCTAGCTGTTTATCTTTTGTTTTTCCTTTTCTCAAAGAATTGCGACTGGAACTTTCAAACGTTTCAAAAGAAAACGGCAAATTCCGTCCTCCATTGATCCTGATTCCTGCTAGAAACACCATCCAATGCAATCCAGTTAAAGCCCTTCATAAAGTATTTTATAAAAAATATATTTTTTCTTTTATTTGTTCACTGTTGGAGATAAGTTGAGGGTTTTGAATGATTCCTTCCAATATAGTCAGAAATCATGAATCCCCAAAATTTTGGACATGATTCCAATGTTTCAATTCCCATTACAATCTACCAAGTACTAAACATAGGAATTATCGTCATTCCCCATGCCAAAACCCTCGAACCAAGGGCCCCTAAATTCATTCATTTCAATTCCTCGCTTAAATCCAAATTCATCGATCCAAACAACAGAATATGCCGTGATCATTAACATTGAATTTACCGATAGAATTAAAGCTATTGCAAACAATAGAAAGTAAGAAATCGATTCCTTTATCGGTTGTTATATTATTCACATTACAATGTAAAATCAATTCCTAAAACTATCTAAAATTCATGGAAAACCGTGTTAATATTTAATTGTTGGAACTATTTACGGCATAAAAATTTGCATAGTTATTTATAGACGAGGAATAATAAATAAACTTAGATTTTTCTTTTCATTCCATCTAATCTAGAAAGCTCCACTCTAATGTGTGTCCCTTTACTCCTGATTACGATTAATTGATGTAAACAGATAATTATAAGAGACGAAGTGAGAGTAGAATCAAGATTGGATAAACAAATCATCAATGATTTGGTGTTCATATAATATTATTTATACAGTAATTAAAAATTTGCACATGATCCCCTCTCGTAAGAACATTGTCATGGTGAAATTTCAGACTATAAAATAACACTAGCGTTTACAAAGATTAATTAATCATTGTCATGAACTTAGTAGTTGTGTAACATAGACGACTCTTTTTTAGTGTGAATTACTACCACCATTTTTCCTTTATTTCTAAGATCATTCCTATAACCTTTGACATATCGACTCTATAGTTATCAGATGTTTCAACCATTTTTATAATTCACTTCCTATTCATTTTTTTATTTTAATATTATTTATAATTTCACAGTCCACAATTGTTGTTAGTCTTTCAGTTTCTTACCTCTGTCTAATTGTGCTCTTCTTTGTTGTTTTTCCACTTGTTGTAGTCAAAATTAGCATCATCTACAGATGATAAACTCTTGCGTGCTGAAATTTATGCCCCTCATTTGAAAAATCTAGTACGGAAAAGAAAAAGAAAAGTTGATGATATTAATTTACTTTAATTCAGTTTTAAGGGGAAAAATAAAACAACTATGTATTTTGAAATAGATATCAAATTTGTTAATATTGTGTTATACTATAAATTAAAGGATTAATTTTTTTTACACTAACAGTGTAACAACTATGTAAAATTTGAATTTGAAATCCAACTTTTGCACATGTGTCTTTTTTTTTTTTTTTTTGGGATATCAACAGCTAAATCTGACCATATTAGAGATAGCGGGGGAGGGAGGAGGGGGGGGGACCAATATATAGCTCAATAAATTGATACATAGGACTAAGGCCCCGTTTGGCAAGTGGATTTTTTGGGTGTTTATCTCAAATTTTACTATAATTTACTGTAGAAGTTTTTAAAAAAATTTTTGAAGTGTGTTTTTTAATATTTTGAAGTGTATAGTTTAAAAATTTTGAGAAATTTTTTGAGGTTACTGTAACTAAAGTTTTTAAAAAACTTGTAGCAGATAAACTTGGCAAAAAACTTATCTACCAAACAAGGCATAAGTTTATGATGTAAACTTTATTATCTGATGATATAGACCCCAAGTTGGGGGAATATACACGTATACAACTACAAACTTGTGCTCTCAAGTTAACTATGTAACCAAAATGCTTGAATCAATTGGCCAATTGATTGAGTCTGAATCTTACGAATTGGATGAGCCTACAAAAGCTTTATTTCTTTTTTGTCCTTTTCAATTTCTAGTTATGTTTGCTTGTTGCTACTTGCAGTCAGTCTGGCACCAATAAGAATTCGGTTGCTTGCCGGAATTGATTTCCTTGTTATTGAATAAACCATGCTACTTCAAAAGTTGCCGGCTTTTGAAGTGTCTTCGCAGAGTCCATTTATCGAAACACTCATACAAAAAACTGTGAGTTATGAAAGGGAATAAACCATGCTACTTCCTGTATGTATATATGGTTATAAAAGTCATGAGCTGTCCATTGAAATACGTGATGATGACCTTCGGAATATCTTAAGAATAATTAAAAGAAAAAATGACCTGTTTCGTGCTTCATATTTTGAAAAAAAAAAAAAAAAACTTTTTTCTCTTCACTTTTTCTTTTTTATGTTGATTTGATAACATGCGCATACCAGGTTTAGCTAAATTTAGAATCATTTAAAGTGATGTTGTAATTTTACACCTAAAATCAATATTAGATTGTTATTCTGGGACTAATTTGCTTCGTCTCTAGAATGTGCGGGACTAATTTATTTTCTTTTAAAAATGATGGACAACAAAAATTCAAAAATATGAGGGATGAAATAGGTCCTTTTTTCTAATTAAAATACATATTTCTGAACAAAGTGACCATGATGAGTTTGAGGTCCAAATCACACATACATCCCCATGTTGGGCAAGCATCCTATAAATGTTGATACCAATAGAAGAAAAAAAATTAGAAATGACTACTCTTTTATGGATGTTTTAGAGATAAGGGGTTCATATACAGAATTAATATTGAAGAATAACAGAAAATAGAGAAACTTTAAAAAGCCTAGAATTTATGAACAAAATGAGACGGGCAAGTAATTATATATGGAAAAAGTAGTGTGATCTGTAATAATAATGTCGTGATGCTAATATGGAAGAAGAACAAAAATTAGAAAAGAGTCAACTCCGCAATTTTGGACGCTAATAGTTTCCATCATATGACCAAAAGTTTATTAAGCTTTGCGGCATAATTACGTTTACTTGTGTGAACTTTGAAGCTAGCAAAAGTGGGATTTATCAAGTTGTTATGTTGACTTCAGCTAATATTTTAATTTGGTCACGAACTCTGAAATTGAAGTTCATACTTGACTTCTCTGTCTGTGAATGCACAATCTCTTTTACATTAGCAAATTTAGATTATGTCGCATGATATGAATTCAAATTTGTAATCCAAATTATGCACATATGCCATACATCCTTCTGTTAATATAAAAAAATCACTATACTGTCAGTTCATAAAAATATTAATCAATTATTTAAACGGTTCAATTAACTGGTACCTAATGGACACTCGTTCAGAGAGGTTTCAAGTATATATATATTTTTTGAAAAAGTATAATTAACTCAGTAAAGTGTCTGAATTTTGAAATGTGGATTAATAACTATGCACATGAACATGATAAATTAGATGTAATTTAAATATACTAATAAGTGTCTAATAGACATCCGTCCAAGAAAAATCTTTAAAATTTAGTGTGAACACCTGCAAATAGGCCCATTGGTTCTATTTCCCACTGGCTGAAGTCTCAAGTATCATACTTGGAGACGACCCAGATATTGTTGAAGTCAATGCTTTCTTTAGCAGGTCAATTTTATCAACCATGCCACTCTACTCTCTCTCTCTTCAGTCTCTTGTACGCAAAAGCAGAGGCCCCTATAACTGTCACTTGTACACTTACACGAGGGTTCTGAAAAGTCAAAAGTAGCCAGCTCAAAAAGATGAAGAAAAGGTCGAGAAATTTCTTTTTTTTTTATTGGTCCGAATTAATTTTGGCATGTAATTACATAGACGGATTTTCTGTCCACTTTTCTGTTCAATGCAAAATTACGTAGTTTCACTTAATATATCTACTGATGTAGCACATAAAAAAGAAAGGTTGTTTGGCTACCTTACACCGGAAAGAAAAAAAATTATTTTGTTGAAGAACTTCCTTCGTCTTCTAGGCAGAAAACGGTGGCAACATGTTTTGGGAATTGTAACAGTAGCAATAGGGTTTTGGGAATTGTAACAAAGTTGTGTAAACAAAGAAAACCCAAAAAAAAGGAAAGAAGAAGAAGCATAAGGCACCAAACAATCTTTCTTTTTTATGTACCACATTAGCAGATATATTAAGTGAAACTACGTAGTTTTACATTGGACATAAAGGTAGACACAAAATAATGGACAGAGGATCCCGTCTGATAATTACAACCAAAGAGAAAAAGGAAAAAGCACGTATTTTGATTCATTTGTATTTGTTATTGGGGTTTTCTAACTGGCGTTCATAGGACACTCATTAATATATTTAACATTCACATAATCTATCATATATACACATATACTAAAAATTATTACATTCCCTTATATTTATATATTTTTCTTATTTTAATCTTACCTACTATATCTTGTATT